GGAACGTCCAAGTTTTCGTGAGATTTTATATAGTAAGTAGAGGAACAAAGAAGTTCTTCGTCGAGTAAACTATACAATAAAATAATATAGCAGACTGGCATTTTAGAGATGGTATATTGTTATTGGTTATATTATAATTGCAGTTTTCATTATTATCATGTAAAGCAGCTTCCATTATCTCACTGTCATGCATTTCTTCAGAAAGTGTGATATTATGATCTAAGCTAAATTCAGAAATATGCACGCCCCTTAATTCAAATGAGATTTTTGAACTGTCACCTCCAACATATAAATTCTGAAAGTAGTTCATAAGTGTAGTACAGTCATTAATTTCAAGAAGTACACAAGTACCTTGAGGATGTGGTAAGCCAAACAAATCTCTTGCATGAGAATCAAAAAGCTTAAATTCTCCATTACCTTTGCAATAAAAAGCTACAGTGTTACATTGAACAGTCATAAGAAACATATCATAATTCTGTTCTATTAAAACTTGTATAGCATTTCCAAATGGCATACAAAATTCAAAATCAATGCTTGATGATATATCATGTAAGTTACCAGTGTAGCATGGGTTGTATTGCATCTCATAATTTTGTATTAGGTAACTCTGTTAATAATAGGTACTCTTGGTCATATAATCTAGATAGCACAGAGTATAACTCATTTCCAACATTCATTATGTTTTCGAGGTCTACAGAAGAAGTTATTGCAAGGCGGTGTTTGTTGTAAATCAATGCACACAGTGACATTGCTACACATTGCTTCCCTGCATTCGGTCCAAACATTCTCATATTGCCTTGAGAATAGCGAGCACTAACTGTTTTACTGGGACTTATCACTACACAGGGCCCTGGGTTTTTTTTTATATCTCTACTTAAATTAAACTTAGAATGGTTGATTTTATGATTGAGACATTTATAAGTATGGGATAAATATTTGTAAATAAAAGTGTCTCCTATCAAAGACTTACTATATTTTGCCTTACCCCTTAAATTGTGCATTTTGTGTTTTCTACCTTTCCTGAACAATAAACTCATCCTCGTCAATCTTTTGAATTTACTACAATGTGCATGTTTTGAGTGAGTTTGCTTGTTTTCATCACGAATGAAACCACATTTATTGACATAGCAGTGTATTTTTGAAGACATAGGTACACTTTTTGCAATATAATTGCGAATTATCTTCCTTACATTTCTGCTTTTATTCATTATACGTGTAAGTTGTTTGATTGGGATTCTGCTTGGTTCTCGATCACGTTGAGGTGGTTGATGAACAGCACTACATGATGTTGGTTTGAATCTGTCACATTCAGAAGCAACGAACTTGGCATATCGAGACCTTACACATTCTTGTTTTGACATGGAACTTTTATTTACATCAACACAAAATTGTTCTGCTTTTTCAAATAAATTACAATCATTTTCTAATAAAGACACGAGTTCATTGTTTATGTACAGCAAGCTAAAATAACATAAATAAAAAACTATGTTTTCGAGATAACTTATATGCGAATAATTTGATGCACAAAGTGTTTTATTTGGTAGCCAAAGTCATGTCACACAACGCCAGGTCACGCGCATGAAAAGTCGTGGAAATCATCTATAAACTTGCAACAAAAACTCGGTTCGACTCAAAATTTCACAGAACCACAGAATTTTAATACGTCTATTATGTGAAAGTACCGAAATTTTATCTTTGATTTTAAAACTCTCTAAAAATGTTGGTGCCGTGGAAGCGTATAAACATAACCTCGCCATACATTTCCTTCTGAAAAATTAGCGTATAAAATTGCTTATATCTTGGCAAATAAAACTCCTTTCGGCGAAAAAATTCTCAGGGATACAGAGTTTTACTCGCTCTTTCACATGGATTACTTGAATTTTGTTTATGACTAATTTTACGGAAAATTTATTTTTCCATGAAGTGCAAACGAAGAATAAGTTATTTCGAATTTACATCGATACTTAGACAGCAATAAACAACCACTAACGATTGGTGACATGATTGAAGAATAAGTACCACTTTCTGATGATTCATAAAGTGTTTGTTGGATGTTATCAATCTCAATGAATACAAAATGTCGTCTTACCTTTGTACCGAGTCCAGTCGTGACGAAATCTTATTGCACTGAATACTGTTCCTCGTTCACATACGATGCAGAGTAGATACAAGATTCTTGCACGATAATAGATCAATCAAACAGATCACGACATGAAGTGGTTCTTTGTCAGTCAATTTTATAGAATTTTTCGTCCAAATTAAGAAACAAGATTAGCCTCTCTCGGACTTCCCGGAAGAGTTCTGTCGTTTGTAATCCCGCTGTGCAAAAGTACCTGAAGTCTGGCTCAACCCGGAAATGAATGTTTTGATTAGTGTAGTTATGACAACAGGGTTTCACTTTATACATAGATTTGAATAAACCGTATACATATGATTTGATAAAGAAATGYGTCAGTTTGATAGATAAAATATGATATTGTGTATTAAAAATCAACAARTGAATAAATAACAAAGGAATGAATGAATGGATACCTGTGAATAAGGTGTAAAAGAATGCAGAAGGTTTCTATCATTGCACATTCAACGATCGCCTCGCTTAGATGCGGAGAAACTACTAACTTTCAATATTACACTGGGAATAGTGAAGGAGAGAATTCAATTCCCTCCCCTCCCCCCTCTAAAAAAAAAAACAAAAAACAAATTGTAAGACAAGCAATTAGGATCGCGAGCTGAACGTACGCATGGTTTCGTGCGTGGACCATGTCGTTGGAACCAATAACCGACTTGCGAGTTTTGACTCATTAGTCACGCACAAAGGAATCAAGACGAGGCGCCGTGCATAAAGCTCAGTCATTCGTGAAAAGACAAATCGTCTATATAATAGTCTGCACTGACTGCTGTGTGTAAAGGCTGATTTACACGGCACGATTGTCTCGAGCGATTTGTGAGTATACGACTTGAATCGCGCAGTGTAAACACCCCTACGACTTGTCTACAAAAGTCGTACGCAACCTACGACTTGTAGTAGGATTTTGAGCCACGGCTTAAAATCCTACGACTTGTAGTAGGAAAATCGTATACTACAAGTCGCGCGCGACAAATCGTACCGTGTAAATCAGCCTTAATGAGCATGCGCAGTTAATTACAACTGTGTATTGCTTTACAGAGTCGACATTAGAATGGGAATCATTTGAACAGTACTGTGTATGSCAATTAATACAAGCTGAAGATGTACTTCTAGAATCCATTGTTGGAATTCTTCCTCAACTAAAACCAGACCTACACGCTGAAGCCTTGACGAACTTGTTAATTCTTATGAAGAGCGTCGAGTAAGTCTGACGTTTCTTCGT